CAAACACCAAACAGTCTAGTGCCTGCCACAACAGAGTTGTCCTGACCACCAGTGCGGGGATTTTTTTCCATTGCAGCCTCTATATTACTAAAGTTCTAAAAGTGGAGGTGACTGAAAGGTGCCAGTTTTGGTGATGCATGAGAAGTCAACCTCTAGTGACCAATCACTGAGATGCAGTGGCTCGCTCTGTAGAGCCCACCATACCTGTGGCCAAACCCAGTAATTGGGACTTAACAGACAGCGTGACAGCACTGCAGTCAGAGCTCTGAAGAATGCTAAAGTCAGAATGCAATGGGGAGTGGCTGAAATTTTCCAGCAGAGGGGAGGGGCTTCTTTGAAGCCAGCAGGAGGCTTTTCTTAACCACAGAAAATGCCAGGGCTCTTAAAAGGTGTCACTTTATGGGAACAAAGAAAGAAAGCTTATTCCAGTATCCCTCTTGGCATCTCACTTGATTTTTCCGTGTTGGCCTAGATCTGCCTGGACTGACACCACCAGGAGCCCATTGTGATATTATCTTTCATTTCTGAGCCAGGGTACAGTTAGCCAGTAAGAGCTTAACTGTATATAATACCAGATACCAGCTTCTGTAATTTCTCCTGCATGATTTCCCTTGCATCCATCCTATCCTCTCTATTCCTACTAACCGCTCGGGCCTTCATGAATGCTGTGGGAAGGCATTAAAGCTGTCTGTTCAATGGATATACACAAATAGAGCTGTGTTTGGGGAAGCCCATCCTGAGGACAGCCACGCCTGGAGGACAGTCAGGCATGAAGTGAAAGCAGGCTAAGAGAAAGGTGGAAGCGAAGATGGGCTACTGTCCACCATCAAACCTTAGCAATCCTGGGACTGGCCTGGATTCATTATGGATGGCACAGGGTAGCCATTCGTAGGTCCCTGAAGGATCACACTAGAGCCCCCAAATGGTTCTTAGGTCCCTGAAGGATCACACTAGAGCCCCCAAATGGCCCGTGGGATAAATTACTACACCACTTTGTACAGAAGTATCCCCTTCTATCCCTATTTCATAGTAATAGAACACTGAGGTCCTCTGAAGGCAAGTTACTTGCTCAAGGTTACTGGGAAAACTACTGGGAAAGAGCAGATACAAAAAGGAATCAGGCGACCAGCAGGTGGAGTGCTGGTGAAGGCTCTGTATTCCCAAGTGGCTGACCATGGTTTGAGTTGTGGACCTGATAGGTTGAAAATCATGCTGGGTGTGTGTGCGTGTGTGTATGTGTGCCCAAAATCTCAAGAAGAGAAGATATAGTAGCATGGCCATCCCCTTTGGGGGTTGATTTCTCACATTCCCTCTCTTTGGCAAGTACACACGCCCTATGTCAAAAATCAGGAAAAAAAAGAAAGAAAAAGGAATCAAATTAGCAAATTAGAATCACAGGCTGTTATAGCTGGACGAGATCTCCAAGATAATTTAGTCTCCTCTTCTTCCTAATTTCACAAAAGGGAGAAGATGAGGCCCAGAAAGGAAAAAAATGACTTATTTAAGGTTACAACAGTATGGAAATGGCAAAGTAGCCATGTATATCTAGCCAGGGCTGGAAGCTGGGTCTGTGGCCCCACACCCAAGTCCAGGCTCTCATATGGAAAGGCTGGGAAAAACTGCCTCATCAAAATCCTAAAACTGAAAGACTGATATGCCTGTAGCACATTTAGTTTCCAGAAATTCCAGTGATAAAAACAGTAAGATTTATACCCGAGGACTTCAATGATTTGGTGATGGTACTTTGAATAGGCATAATGAGTTGTGAGGCTCAGAGACCAAGTACGCTTATAACTCTGTGCCACGTGCTCAAGAGATCTGCAGGCAGAAGCCTGCCCCTGACTGGGGTCGCCAGGAAGCACAGCCTGGTGCCGTACAAAGAGCACTAGACTTAGATGGAGCCAAAGAGAATTTGGACTTGAATCCTAGCTATTGGCTTAGTCACTACATGACAGTAGGTGAC